AAGTTTTGTCTTTCTCCAAACATGGTGTAGTCTTTGTCCTCTCTTGACCAGTATTTTACATCTAGAGTTAGTACTGTAAAGAGTTTTCTTTTTCAATTCTTATGGAAAACTAGGCAGTATTCCTAGTCTTTCCTGTCTTCCTCTCATTAGTGTTTTATTTGCTCTGATACAAGTTTGCAACCATACAATTAACATCACCACAAGGGTGAATGGTTACCATGTGCCATCATTTTGGGAGAGAGGGTGGACAGGGTCTCTATATTAGCCAGGTTGGCTTGGAACTTGCTATGTAGCCATGGCTGGCCTCAAACTTGGGATTCTCTTTGTTCAGTCTCCTGAGTGCTAGGACAAGGGGCATGTGCCATGTCCAGCTTATGTGTCTCTTGATGTGATGCCATCAGTTCTGTGATATTCTTACCCATAATGCTTAACCTGGGTATAATCATGGAGAAACCTAAGTCTTGAGAAAATTCCATAAAATGTCTGGCCTGTTTTCTTAAAAAAGAAAGCAAAGGTTAGAGCCAGCAAGAGAGTTCAGTGGGTAAAAGCGCTTGCCACCAAACTTGATGACCTGAGTTTGATAGTCCTGGAGGCCAATTTGCACAAGTTGTTTTCTGACCTCTGCACATGTGCTGAGGCCTGCAGGCACATGCTTTCTCTCTCTCACACACACAAATTAAATAAATAAATAAATACATAAATGAAAAAAGAAGGATAAGGAGCTATATTTGGTTTGGAAGGACTAAAGACACATAATAATGAAATGCAGTATTTGATTCTGGATTAAATTCTTCAGGAATAAAATGCCATGGAGGGCGTTGTTGAGATAAATGGAAAAATTGGAATGTGGATTTTAGTATTTTAGTATTAAATGTCTTGAATTGATATCTACCCTATGGTGATGTAAAAAAGAATTGTTCTTAGGAATAGCTACTGAAAAATTACCATACAGGAACATGAAGAGCTAATCCTGTTGGCTGCTATGCCTCTGTTCCCAGCACTTGAGAGACTGAGGCAAGAAGATTGAGACTTTGAGGTCAGTCTGACATATGTAGTGAGATCCTTCTCAACTCCCCCACCCCCCAATCCCCAGCCCAAAGAAGAAAAAAACATGGAGGATTGATACAAAAACCTATGTGAATTATTCAGAAAAAAAGTATATATTAATATTGAAAAATACTAAACTAGTGATTCTGAACTAAAGATATTTAGAAGTTCTCCATCATTTCAGTTCTTCTTTAGTTGGGGATAATTTCAAAATAAAAATAAGTAAAGGCTGAGGGTCTGACTTTAGTACTTTAGTACTTTACTAATATACATGAAATCTTGAGTTACATCCAGCATGGGGATGCGGGGGAGGGGTGGTCAAAGTCTCCTTAAGCTACAGAGCAAAATAAATATGTAATTTCCACTGTTAGTCCCTTTCCTGTGTGTAACTTTGGAAAGTCTCTCCAATTCATAATCTCTCTTTAAAAATGTCCTACCTGTAGGGAATCAAAGACTCCATCTGGGGCATTTGTACGATCTCAAAGCTAGATGCTCGAATCCAGCAGAAGAGAGAGGAACAGCGTCGAAGAAGGGCAAGTAGTGTCCTGGCCCAGAGGAGAGCCCAGAGTAGAGAGAGGCAGCAAGAGAGGTAAGGAGTGTAGGCCATGTCCCAGAATTCCTAGAGGGGGGTCTTGAGGGAGTTGGATTCTTAGTACACAATAAAGATCCTACAGAGTGAATTGCAATTTCACCATTCCAGTATTTGTTATTTGTTTATTTATTCATAATAGGAAAATGTTATAGGTGACATTCTCTCCACTCCTGCCCCCTGGTCCCTGCCCCTGTATTGACTTAAATTAGGATGCTTTACTCAAAATGACGTGATACTGAAAAATAAACTAATCCCAGCACTTGGAAGGCAGAGGCAGGTGGATCTCTGTGAGTTTGAGGTCAGCCTGGTCTACATAATGAGTTCCAGGCCAACTGGGGCTACAGGGAGACCGTGTCTCAAAAAGACCAAAATAAATAAATAAACAAAATAAAATCAGGGCCAGAGAGATGGCTCAGGTTGTACCATGCAAGCCTGTTGACTTGAATTTGAGCCTTAGAACAGACTGATGGAAGGAGAGAACTGACTTCACAAAGTTGTCCTCTGGCCTCTGTATACATCTCTCAACTCAGATTTCAGAAAATACTTTTTTAAAAATTTAATTTTTTTTATTATTATTGGGTGGTGGCACATGCATGCCAGGGTACACATGTGGAGGTCAGAGGACAAATCTGTAGTTACTTCTCTCCTTCCACCTTTATGTGGGTTCAGTGGATCAAATTTAGGTCACCAGGCTTTTGCGGCAAGTATTTTTGCCTGCTGAACTATGTCATCTACACCCCTGCCCTCCCCCCGCCACTTGTTTTTTTAAAGTAAAGCTGGTTTCAGCTGGGTATGGCGATACATGTCTCTAATTCCAGCACTGGCTATGTAGTGAGACCCTGTCGCACAAAAAAGCTGAGGGTCTGGCTCAGTGGTTAAGAGCATTGGCTGTCCTTGTAGAAGACTTGGGTTCTAATCCTAATACCCACATGGCAGCTAACAGTTCCAGGGAATCTGACACCTTCTTTTCTCTGGGGGCGCTGCATGATGTGGGTGCACTTACATACATGCAGGTATAACACTCATAAACATAAAAAATAAAATTAAAGAATAAAAAGCTGAGTCCTCTGAATTGTCTTTGCCCTTCCTCGTTACTGAATTAGAACTTGGGAGAACATTAGGGACCATGGAAGGTATAAAATGGAGAGCTACTGCATGACAATAGAAAGCAGCCTATATTCCTTTGAAGCCAAATTCATATTCTCTTTTCTAGTGAGCCACGTATTGTTAGCAGAATTTTCCAGTGTTGTGCTTGGAATGGTGGAGTATTCTGGGTAAGTTCCATCAAATTCTATGTTCCTTACAAAGTGTCTTTAGATCGTAGGTTAATATTTCTCAACAGTTTCACATAGAAACACTATGATGAAATTAATCTCTCAGCTGCTTATGTATGCTTACATTATCATGTGGATAGGGAGGGAACAGAGGAGGGGAGTGGGGCAAATATGAGTAATATACAATGATAAGTGTGAAAATGCCAGCATGAAACCCATTATTTTATATGTTAACTAAAAGAATTAATAATTGCCAGGTGTGATGGCACATGCCTTTATCCCAGCACTTGGGAGGCAGAGGCAGGTGGATATATGTGAGTTTGATGCCAGCATGACCTGTCTCAAAACAACAATAACAACAATAAACTGCAGGGCCTGAGAGATTGCTCAGTGATCTCTTGTAGACAGGTTTGGTTTACAGCACCCATATCAGGAAGCTCACAGCTACCAGGGAATCTAATGCCCTCTTCTGACCTTCATGGGTACCTACATGTACATAGTACACATAACAGACAGGCATACATACATACATACATACATATAAAACAAAAGATTAAAAAAATATAAATGAATAAAAAAAAAAATACCTACAGTCCTGGCACTTGGGTGGTAAATGCAGGGAGCTCAGAAGTTCAAGGTCATTTTTAGCTACATAGTGAGTTTGAGGCCAGTCTGGGATATTTGAGAATCAATCTCAAACAAAGCAAATGTGAATTTGGATTCTGTGTACTTACAGTGATTTTTATTCTCATTCAGGAAAGAACATGTATATGTAAACAAATGTCAGGGAGGGTCCTAAATATACATTTATTTATTTTTGTATGATTCATTGACAGGTTTTAGTATTATAGATAACAATTTGTGTTTACACTGTCGGGACATTTTGGCTAAGAGGTCAGAGGCAAAGGGCAGATATGGCCACATGAGCAAGATTCTCTTTGATTCTGGTTATAGCAATTAATTAGAATTACTATTAAAATCCAGATCAGATCCCACCACTGCCACCAAAAAACAAAACGAAACCCAGATTAGAAAAGGTTGCCTAGAGCTAGCACAGTCTTGAATGAAATTCCTGTTTCAAGAATGAGTAAATCCTGCCTTCAACTAGGGGTGTAGTGAAATTCAGGTTATCGTCTCTAAAGATTTCACCAGTTTTTTCAGATACTAGCTTGAGATTTAATTAGTAAACACTACAGTGTGTTTAGTATGTGCCTGTCTACTTATACCTGAATGCCATTTAAAATGTTTTCTTTGTCCTTCCAAAGGTTCATTGTTGACAGGCAGTACAGTTTGCAGTACTCACTAGGAGTATTGAGGAGAAATGGGTCTGATTTTGGTGTTTCTTCAGGCAATCCGTACTGGAAAAATCATTATACTGAAAGTTGAAATGTCTAGTTTTAAAGATGGGCTTTTGATTACTTCATTGCTTTTTTCCTTTAGTTCAGTCTCCTCTTGTTTTATCGAGTCTTTATTCCTGTGCTTCAGTCAGTAACAGCCCGAATTATTGGTAAGTACAAACCTGGCACCTTGCTACTTGTGGGGGATGGAAGTATGAGATGTTTGTTTCTAGTCTGCCTCACTTTCCCGAGCACTTTCTACATAACCAGGAATTTTTTATGAATTTATGTATGTATGTATGTATGTATGTATGTATGTATGTATGTATATATGTGTTTATTTATTTATTCATTCATTCATTCATTTTTGTGTATGAGTGTATTGCCTGCATGTATGTGAGTGCACCTGTGTTGTGCAGTGCCGCGGAGGTCAGAAGAGGGCTTCGGATTCCCCTGGAACTGGAGTTAAGGACGGTTTGTAGCCATTATGTGGGTACTGGGAATCAAACCCAGGTCCTCTGCAGGAGCAGTCAGTGCTCTTAACTGCTGAGCCATCTCTCCAGCCCCTTAAACTCAGACTTCTTAAGAGCTCCTTGAGATAGGCATTGTTGGTCTGATGTTTTATGGATGAGAAACTAGAAGTTGGTTGAACCATTTAGAAAGTAGCAGACCTAGGGTTTACATCCAGGTGGTTTCCTCCTAGTTGAGCAGTTAATCACTGTGACATCTCATTAGTTACCTTGTACGCAGATTTGGTTTAAGCAGCGCTTACCTGTGGTTATTCTGAATTAGAGCTTGTCCAGAATGTGGTATGTCTGCTACCATATGAGACTCTTTGTGAGCTAGATATAATAACATACTGGCAAGAAACAGAGATGGGGCTTCTGGCTGTCCATTGGCTAATTAAACTAATATCTCTTTTTGCTTTTCTTAGGTGATCCATCACTGCACGGAGATGTTTGGTCATGGTTGGAATTCTTCCTCACATCAATTTTCAGTGCTCTTTGGGTGCTCCCCCTGTTTGTGCTTAGCAAAGTTGTGAATGCCATTTGGTTTCAAGTAGGTCCAGGGCAGAATAGAGTTTGGGAACTATAATAGGTTGATGTAGGATTTTAGCCCATGAAGCTAGTTACCATATAAAGACCATTTTCAAGCCTTAACCTTTCTTAGCCAAGTAACCAGTGTGTTATCTTTGTGGTTTCATAAAATGAAATTATTGTCTCAAGTTACTGAAGCATTTCATGGCCAGAGTCTGGGGCATTAGCTTTGGGGATGGATACTTGGACTACTTAACCCGAACTTTGATGTACTACTCTTGGTTTCAGGATATAGCTGACCTGGCATTTGAGGTATCAGGGAGGAAGCCTCATCCATTCCCCAGTGTCAGCAAAATAATTGCTGACATGCTCTTCAACCTATTGCTACAGGCTCTTTTCCTTATTCAGGTGAGAATGCGTTTTAGACACTGGAGGAAATTTTTAAAAAGAAAGTTCAGCTAGAGGGAATGTCACTTTTTTTTGCATTTATACTGGAGTATGCATATGCGCCTTGTGAAAAGTAATTTTTTATTGTTGTGGGTTTTTTTTTTTTGGCTTGAGACAGGGTCTCTCTGTAGCCCTAGCTGGCCTAGAGCTCACTATGTAGAACAGTCTGGCCTTGAGCTCACAGATATCTGCCTGCCTCTGCCTCTGCCTCCCAAGTGCTGGGATTAAAGGTGTGTGCCACCACGCCTGGCCTAGTAATTTTTTTTTTTTTTTTAAAGACAGGGCTTTGTTGTGTGGTCCTGGTTAGCCTAGAACTCACTATGCAGACCAGACTGGCCTTGAACTCACAGAGGTCTGCCTGCCTCTGCCTCCCGAGTACTGGGATTAAAGGCATGTGCCACCATGCCTGGCCTGAAAATACTTTTTTTTTTTCAGTCTTTTTGAGACGGTCTCCCTGTAGCCTCAGCTGACCTGGGACTATGTAGACCAGGCTGGCCTTGAATGCACAGAGATCTGCCTGCCTCTCTCTCCTAAGTGCTGGGATTAAAGGTGAGCACCACCACATCCAGCGAAAATAATGTTTTTAAAGCACTATGTGTCTATGTGTATGGTGTGTTGTGGTATGTGTATGTGTGTACTTTCCACCTTATTCTTTGAGACAGGGCCTCTCACTGAACCTGAAGCTCACCGTTTTTAGCTGGCTGTCAGATCAGCCTCCTGGGATCCACCTGTCCTCCTGCCCCTGTGTTAGTGCTAGGGTTCTAGACACATATGCCAGGTTTCACATGTGTGAGATTTGAACTCAGACCTCCTGCTTTCACAGCAAGCACTGTTACCTAGTGAGCCACTTTTTAAGAAGCTGTATTGAAGTAGGGGTAAGAAGTAGTACACAATTGAGGTTTATTTATTTGTTCATTTTGAGGCAAGTGTAGCCCTGGCTGGTCTGGGACTCACTATGTAGACCAAGCTAGTCTTGAACTCACAGAGATCTGCCTGTCTCTGCCTCCTGAGTGATGGGATTTGAAGGTATGTTCCACTATGCCCTAGCCCTAAAATTGAGATTTAAGCAGGGACAGAGACAGAAACACTGATTGAGAGTCACTTCAAAACATTTTTTCATAAGAACAGAGTTTAAATACAGTGTTATAATCATGAATGTAACTTGGAGCCTCTGCTCTCTGCTTCTCCTATTCAAAAACTTGAGAAGCAGCAAGGAGGCCATCTGAGTGGTGGATACGAAGTGTCCCTAAGCTCTGGCATTACTATCTGTTGCACTTGTTTTTCAGGGGATGTTTGTGAGTCTCTTTCCCATCCATCTTGTTGGTCAGCTGGTTAGTCTGCTGCATATGTCACTTCTCTACTCACTGTACTGCTTTGAGTATCGTTGGTTCAATAAAGGTAAGTCCATGTAAAGAAACCCAGAGTGTAGAGACCCAGCTTGTGCCAAATCTTTGAATAAATGTAGCCTCATTGGCTAGAGGGAGCTTCCAATTAGTTTAGTGAGGCCAAGGAAAAGGCATTGTAGAATTATTGTTTTGGTGTGATGTAGCACTGACTGGGCCAGAACATGGCATAAATGAGCACAGGGTTTTTCAGAGAAGTTTAGACACGAGTGCAGGTAGAATTTCAAAATTGTTTTTATTTATTTTGAGACAGACTCTTGCTCTATCACCCAGGCTGGCCTTAAGGTCTTGTAGCTCAGGCTGCCCTTGAATGTAACAGGTCACCTGCTTCTACCTCCCAAGTGCTAGCATTACAGACATGCACTATCATGTCCACCTTATTTGATTATTTTGGGATTTTTTTTCTCTTTTTAAATTTTAAATATTTTTAAATTAATTATGTTTTTTGAGATAGGGTCATGCTATATAGTCCCTAGTGGCCTTGTAGTCTTACATGGCCCAGGCCGATTTTGAACTCCAGGCAACAGTCTTTCTCTCTCAGCCTCTTGAGTGCTGGGATTACAGGTGTAATAATCCATCATACTCAGCTGGGAGTCTTTTAAAAAGACTTTGATGCTGGGTGTGGTGCCAAGTACTTGTAAGCCTAGTACTCTGAGGTAAAGGAAGGAGGGTCTTGAATTTGAGTCTAGCCTGTGCTATATAGTGGGATCCTATCTCAAAAATTCAAACCAAAACAAAAACCTTTGGCATGTTCATCTGAGTGAGTGTGGTTGAAAGAAGGTAACTGCTTTCAATAGAGGCACTATTTTTTTTATTTAATAGTTTGCTTTGTTCTGTACTAAACCTGACAAAGGCTGCTGGTACTGAAACTCATAATTTACCTAGACTTTCAACTTTGGAATTAAGATTATTGATTGTAAAATCATTGCATTGAATCTATAATCAAATTTGTACTTTTTTTTTTTAAACTGCTGAGCCATTTCTCCAGCCCCAAATTTGTTAATTTTTTGAGACAGGCTCTCATTATATAGTCTTGGCTGAGCAGAACCTCAACATGTAGATGAGGCTGCTTCTACCTCCTAAGTGTTGGGATTAAAAGTGTGTGGCACCTTGTCCAGAAAATTTGTATAATTTTATTTAAAAATATTTTTATTAAGTTCTCTGAGAACCTCGTACAATGTATTTTGATCATATTCGCCCCTCTTTCCCAACTCCTCCCAGATCCACCCCCCACTGGTCCTACCTACCCAACTCACCCAGCTTTGTATTTTTTTTTGTGGGGCAGGGGGAATCAGCTCTGGAGCATGGTCAACCTCCCCAGGGCCACACCTGTGCAATTTTGTTTTATATGGTGTAACTTTATTCTAAATGGAAGATCTGTACCTAAAACCCAAGCCTGACATAGTTATGTCTGCCAGTTATTAGTCACTAAAATAAAATATGCAGCTAAGTGTACTGACTTCCTTGTTTTAGGAATTGAGATGCACCAGCGATTGTCAAACATAGAAAGGAATTGGCCTTACTACTTTGGATTTGGCTTGCCATTGGCTTTTCTCACAGCAATGCAGTCCTCCTACATTATCAGGTAACTTGGCTAGTGAAGTTTGAGAGGCTGGAAAAATAAA